GAACCAACGATCCACTGAGGTTCAATATGAGGCTGTCATTCCAGATATACACTTACACCAAAGTGACAAGCCAAAGCTTTGACGGACAGAGGAGCCTGAACGATGATTTGCCATTGAACGGTAATGAGGAAGCCTGACCTCAGTAAAGGGCACCCACCTGAATGGGAGGGTTTTGGAGAAGTCCAAGTTCTATCTGGAACGGATAATTGTGTCTTCTGTTACCCATGTGTCATCCGTCCATACATATCTACCTACGTGCCTTCCTACCTGTTACATACCTGCTGTGTGTATGTCCATCCAACCACCTGTCCTTCATCTGTCTGTACTTATCCATCCATCCATCCGTCCATGTATCTGTCCATCCGTCCGTCCGTCCATCCATCCATCCATCCATCCATCCATCCATCCATCCGTCCATCTATCCGTCCATCTATCCGTCCATCCATCCATCCATCCATCCATCCGTCCGTCCGTCCGTCCGTCCGTCCATCCATCCATCCATCCATATCTGCCTACAGACCTTCTTACCTGTCGTCTGTCTGCTGTGTATCCGTGTGTCCATCCATCCATGCATCCATCTCTCTCACTCTGTCAACCTACAATGGTCTGTCCCCCACCCTCAAATTCATGTGTTGAAACTTAATGGCCAACGTGACAGCATTAACAGGCTGGGCTTCTAAGAGGTGATTAGGTCACGGGGCGTCTCCCCCACGAATGGGATTGAGGCCGTCACACAAGAGGCTTCACACAGGGTTTGGCCTTTTTTGCTCTGTCCCTTCCTCCACGTGAGGACACCCGGACGGCCATCTGTGAGGAACAGGCCCTCACCAGAGGCTGCACCTGCTGGCACCTTGCTGTTTGACTGCTCAGCCTCTAGAAGTGTGAGCACAAACTCCTGCTCTTTATGAATTTCCCAGCCTTCGATCTTTGTTATCGCAGCACACACAGACTAATGCACGCTCTGCCTCTGTCATCTCTTTATCTAATCGTCTGGCATCTGGCTACCTCCCTATCTACCTCCCTGTATCTGTACACCTGTCTGTTTAACCAACCATCATCAGCTCACTTACTCCCCAGGGAGGTCCCAGCGTGGCTGGCCTCCACCCTTACACCACAGTGACAACCTCGGCTGTGACTGAATCGGGGTCTGCGTGAGTTTTCAGTGGTTTGCTCTCTCCAGCGGATTCTACTGGTACTTTTTAAAGAGGCTTCTCTGTTTTCATTGATAGATTAAAGGTAAACCCAGCCCAATTGGACTAACCCTGAAATGCAGGACCCGATTTAACTGGTGAGGGGGCACACTCAGGTCAATTGTGGGAGGGAGAGTGGGGGTGCGGGGAGCTCCCCCAAAGTAAGCTCCCAGCGAGGCATTGTGTATAATGGCTAGGTCTCTGCAGCCAGACTGTCTGCGTGCGAACCCCAGTTGCACAACTACCACTTCTGCGATCTTGGACAGGTTAGCCTCCCTCAGCCTCAGTTTCCTCGTCTGTAACATTGGGAGGGGGGTTGGGAAGATGAACAGAGCAGCACGTGCTCGGGACAGTGCCCGGCGGGGGCCGAGTCTGCGCGTGTGGGTGCTGGCCGCAGTCGACATGTGTGACAGACGGACCAAGGCAGCCGGGTGCCGCTGCTCTCCGTAAGCTCCTGGGCTGTGAGCCCCGACCATAGGCATGTCCGACCCCCAGAGCACGAGAGGGCGAGGGCTCCATTCACGGGGAGCAGGGGTGGTGCCAGCCGCTGCCAGCCCCCACCCCTCCGTGCTGCCCAGGGCCAGTCTGCCCAGCCGCCCTCCCCTGGGCTCCGTCCCCTCACACTCACCAAGCTCCCCCTGGCAGATATCAGTCCTGGTGGCCCCTCCGAGAATGAACTCTGGGTTTTTCACGATTTCCTGGAGGAACGAGAGCATGATCAGTGAGGGGAGCCCCCACGCAGCAGGCCAGTGGGAGAGAGCAGGGGCAGGGTCTGCGCCCTGCGCAGCGCAGAGGGCTGCCTTCCCCCTGTATTTGACTTTTCTGTGGGGGGCCCTGAGGAGGCTCTGTGTCCTGGACACACCTGGGCCCTCCCTGGGAGCCCTGTCCCCTGGGGAGAGGTCCTGCCTCTTTCGCGTGCTCACTGCACAGATGGGTGCTCTGCTGTTTTCATGGGGTCAGGGTGATGCCGGTGAGTAGGGGCTTTTGCACCTGTCTGCAGACACCAATACTGAGTCAGGGCCTGGGCTGGAGGCGGAAGGTCCCAGCAGCATCTGGGCCGATGCCGTGGGGGCAGCACAAGCTTGTTGCCCCCCCCCCCCCCGAGAGCCCCCTGCCCTGAACTGTCATTCTCAAGTGTCCCAGGACCCTCCTTCTCCTCTGGTCTTGTGTCTCAGAGAATCAGCAGGAGGACAGGGATTTGTTTGAAGCCAAGGGGACTCGGGGATGACGCAGGTAAGATGATGGCACTGTCTGTGCACCTTCCAGATGTCCCCTCCTGATGCAGCCATGACACCAGAGCACCTGCCCGGGGAGGGCTGAGTGGACACATTAGATTTTCCAACACTCGGGTAGACGCAGGGCCGTGCCATCAGATGCAGCAGAAACCCAGACCTGGTCAGGACACCCCGAATGCGGCCCCTCCTCTGTGAGGACACTCCCACCCTCAGCTCCAGGGAGCCTCGGAGTCTTTGCATTAAGTGACCCTAATCTCAAACGTGGCAGGGAGTCTGTCCTCGGGCCAGGGTCCTGGCTGCTGCGCGGACCCTCTCCATCTGCACGGAGCAGCACGTCGCTGCTGTCCTGCCTCACCCTCGGCCAGCACAGGTGTTTGCAGGTGTCTCAGAGCCGAGCCCAGAGGGACAACACAAACCAGGAAAATGTCAGAGGACCTTGAGAAACAGCCCAGCAGTATCCTGCCTGCTCAGCAGAGGGGCTCTGCGCAGGCCACTGAACGTCTCAGGCTGTGTCCTCATCTGTCACCAGCTCGGACATTCTGGGCTCATTGCAGAATGTGTGCTGGGGCCCCTGCCTTGGCGGGTGCCCCAGGAACCCCCACAACCCTCCCTACCTGGATTGCCCAGTTGCCACCAGGAGAACTGCCCCCATGAGCAGCTCGCACTGCCGGTACCTCTCGTTCCTGCAGTGGACATAGACGGGCTCCGAGAGCCAGCAGCCCCTGCCTATCCGGCCGTGCCAGGCACGTGGGGCCTCACCTCTCTCCCCGTCCCTGTCTGCCCCAGCCTCCCGCTGGCCTGGCCCCGACAACTGCCACATGGGGCCCCCCAGCTCTGTCTGCTATGGGTTGTTTTGTTCGAGAGAGTTTTACCAGATCACATCCAACCAGGAGAAAACCCCCAAAGGAGGAAACTCAGAAATTCTCCCCAAGTGAGCACAAATTAGTCATCGGGCATACACTGGGCGGTGCCGGGGTGTGGCTCTGTGGGTCGGTGTGTCCGTGAATCGCTGCACACGTGTGCCGGTCCTGTGAGGGCCATGGAGGTCTGTAGATGTGTGGAGGGGCAGCCAGGGGGCCCCCGGGAGCCACGCAGTGGTATACGGGGACGGGTGTGTGGGTCCCGCACGTGTGAGATGCCTGTGACCTGCCTGCATGTGTGGTGTGCTTGTGCCCACGTGTGTGCTCCATATGTATACTGGTTGCGTGTGCACTTGGGCGCATTGTGTGTGTGTGGGTGTCCTGCACGTGCGTGTGGGGCCCCATGTATGTTTGTTCATGTGAAGAGAGGATAGGGTCACCTGCAGCTGTGGTCCTGTGATAGGACGATCAGAGGGGTGTCAGTCGCAGGGGTCTTGAACTGAGCCTGGACTGCTGCCTGTGGACCCCGGGAGCCCCGTGGGAGGCGGCCCTGGCACCACCCGGCGTGTTTGCTTTCAGGGCCTGTTCTGTTGAACTTGCACACGATCCGGCCTCAGCCCAAGATGCAAACTTTCCTCTACTAAGCAAGTGATGTGAAAGAGAAAGGCCACGCTTCCAACAAGGCCTGGAGACGCTGGGTGCCGCGGTCCAAAGCCGTGTGCTCAGCCCGGTGGAGGCCTTGGGGACCCTGGGGCTGTCCCAGAGCTGCTGATGGCCTCTCTGGGTGGTGGGCTAGCCCACGGTGCAGGAGAGGTTATGGCCACGCGACACGTGTGGGCACGTTTGGGGAGGAACCCACGGAAGACAGCACCGGGGCAGGCAGACAGGGTGTGGGGAGAGGAGGCTGTTACTCGTGCCACAGGGGCCAGCCTGCAGGGTCAGCGCTGATGACACGCGTGGGCACGTTTGGGGAGGAACCCACGGAAGACAGCACCGGGGCAGGCAGACGGGGTGTGGGGAGAGGAGGCTGTTACTCGTGCCACAGGGGCCAGCCTGCAGGGTCAGCGCTGACAGCACTGTGGCTGCCTTCCCATTTGGCGGAGGTCCCCCAACACCTGTCCCCTGCCTGTGCACCCACTTACACGCAGGTGCACAGCCCCAGGGGTGACCTTGCCTTCTCTCAAGCTCAGCCTGTCACCCTCACTTTGCCCCCACTCCCCGGTCCCCCCTCTCCTTGCCTTGGGCTCCCTGGCTTCGAGCTTCACCCTCCAAGCACAGCTGTGTTTGACAAGAAGGTGGAGCTGGGGAGGGCCACCCCACCCACGGTCCTGCGGCCGCCCGGCATTTGCTGCTGAGACATGCGCCACCGTGTACATGCTGAGCAGAAATGCAAACATGCCCAAGCCACGGGGGCCTCTGGAGGGAGACCGGATACTCTTATGACCACCCTGCTGACCCCCGTCCTCTAGCAGAGACCCTGCACCTTCCCTGCAAGAAGCAGCTCGGTGCCCACCCCAGCCCATTAGCTCTGGATTTTGCAGAAGTATATGAGATTTAATGCAAAGCCCCTGGCCCCCCTGAATAAGAGACAGACGGGATGTGTTTCTGGGAGTGAAGACCAGACCAGGGGGACCATCCGAGTTGCAGACAGAGGAAAAAGCACAACAGATTCTGAAAGTGGCCCAAGGGCAGGACAGCCACACAGTAGACTTAAGATAAATAAAACGATTGTGCAGCCCAGGAGGAGACAGTGGGATGCGGAAGGAACAGGAGGGTCGGGTTGGCAGGGCCACTTTGCGGGGGGGCGGGAGGCAGGGCACAGTGGAGGGGCCTGTGCATCAAGGCCACACCCAGCATTTGGGGCAATACCGGCAGGAGATCGAGTGAAAATGACATCACTCAGCATCAGGGAAATGCAAATCAAAACCACGTTGAGAGAGCGTCTCACCCCAGGTAGACAGGCCATTACAGGACAGAGACTAACACACGCTGACAAGGATGTGGAGAAAGGGGACCCTCCTGCGCTGCTGGTGGGACTGTGAGTTAGTGCAGCCGCTGTGGAAAACAGTGTGGAGGCTCCTCAAACAACTACAGACAGACCTGCCCTACGATCCAGCAATCCCGGTGCTGGGTTTATACTCAAAGGAATGGAGATCATCATGTCGAAGGGACACCCCGCACTCCCATGTTCATCGAAGATCTATTTCCAATAGCCAAGATATGGAACCAACCTAAATGTCCATCATCAGATGAGTGGATAAGGAAACTGTGGCACATCTACACAATGGAATACTACTCTGCCATGAAAAGGAATGAAATTCTGCCGTTCACAGCAATATGGATGAACTTAGAGAAAAATCCAAGTGAAATTAAGCCAGACACAGAAAGAGAAATACCACATTCTCTCACTCATAAGTGGAAGCTAAAAATAAATAAAAGAAAGAAAAATACAACAATCACAGCAATTCACTGAACTTTCAAAAGGAGAGAATGGAACTGAGGCCTCCAGTGGTGGGAAAGGGAAAGGCGGGGGGGACAGCGAGAAATTGGTAAAGGGCCACAAAAAAGGGTTACACTGCGTGATGATAAGTATTGCATAATGTAAAAAAAATGAAAAAAGGGATAGTGGGAAGACACCAGGGTCCCCAAATCACTCCGTGAGGTGCAGAGGCTCCTTCCACCACCGCTGACCTGCTTTGGGCTGTTGACCTGTGACATAAGTGAGAAATAAATCTATTGTGTTTCGCCACTGGCGTTGGAGTGGGGGGTTAGGTAAAGACGACACCTCTCAGAACCGAGATCTGAGACTTCAGGTCCCTGGCGGGCCTCGTTCCAGGAGGGGAGCCTCTGAGGTGGAAGCAAAGACTCCCCCACCCTGGCCTGAGCCTCGAGCTTTTATCTTGGAGAATTCCAACTCTGGCAAAGACTAGTCGAGGGACGCTTTAAACCAGGTGATGTCAGTGCAGACTGCAAGGTTGGGGCTGTCTTAGCAGGGGGGGACAACTGGGCTGGCAGTAGCTGCTGTGAGTGGAAAACCTTCTGTGTCCCGGACATCGACCTACACTGGTCATTCCTGGTCCCATTTGCAGGTAGGGGGACTGAGGACATTGTCCTCCATCCGTCATCACTGGTCCGTTTTGCAGGTGGGGAGACTGAGGAAGTGAAGTGAGGTGGCCACAGGCTTGGGACAAGTCAGTGGCAGGGCGGGACCATGCTCAGGGTCTCACCTTGGCTGCAGTGTCCTGCACTGCCCTCTTGCCCACAGAGCGGCGCCCAGGCCGGTGCCCACCCAGTGGGAGTGGGAGCAGGCGGACACCGGGTCAGAGGTGGAGCCCTGACTAACCCACATGGCAAATATTGACCCGGTCCCAGGCACTGGCTGCTGCCTCTGGGGACCTGCACTCGCAGACCGTGTGGTAGGGTGGCACTGACCTGGCTCTCCTGCAGGAGTGGGGGTGTGTTCTGGGGGGCACAACCCTGCTCCAGCCTCTGGTGGCCCCCATCGCACCTTTGCTGGGGACTTGCAGAGCCAAACTCCCATCCTCATGGAGCACCCAGCTCTAGAGCAGAAGCCACAGGGCACCATGCACACACAGTCTCAGAGCCACCAAGCACAGGGGGGAACACGGTGGCACATGCTCTGAGTCTGGTGGCCTTGTCCTCGGGATAAAGCTTTGACTCCCCACCTACTGGCAAGACCATCCGACTCCAGGTCCCTGGCCTTGGTGGGAGTCAGCGAGCTCAGAGCAGGCCAGGGGTGCGGCCGGGCACCCAGGACACCCCCAGAGCACCTCAGGCCTGTGCGTCACCCCTGTCTTCAAACTGCAAAGGGCTCAGCAGCCGACTCAGTCGGTTTGAGTGTAGCCGCCCCCAGCCCCTGTTCCTGTGCCCTCCCTGGTCCCCAGGAGCTTGCCACCCCCTCCACCCCTTCTCGTGCACTCACCCCTGGGCGCTTCCACACAAAGGGGACCTGGGGCCTCTGGCTGTAGAACAGGGACGCAGTGTTGGCAGGGAAGTCCACATCCTCAAACAGGATGTCCTTCTGCAGGCAGCCCTGCCTCAGCTGCTCGAAGCTCTGGCCCGAGGAGTGGGTGGCCCGGGCATCCTTGGGCACCGGGTGAGCCTGGGGCCCTGGGGGCCGGTACAGGTGCGGCATGGCTGGCTCCTGGGGCTGGCACGGGTCAGAGATGGGTGGAAAGGAAGTGGATGCACGAGCTGCCGGAGCTGCTCAGGGGCTGAGTGGCCGTCACTGCACTGCTCCCGGCACCTTCCTGTTCGACGGAGTGGGACACGCCCTGATGACAAACGTGGGACAGCCCTCTGTGCTCAGCACCCCTGAAGACCTGGGACAGCTCTGGGCCACTCCAGGCGAGGCAGCGCCTCAGCTCAGTGCACTGGAGGGACCTGTGGGGCGAGGGGACAGCTTTGTGCGGCAACAGTGAGGCCACGCTGGTGCACGAGGTGGCTGCGGGGACAGTGCACTGAGTGGTCTTGGGTCGCGTCTCCTGAATCAGCGAATGGCAGAGTCCCGTGGCTCTGTGGGGCCTGGCGAGTCACAGTGGGGCATTTCCCATGAGCGTGGCATGCACAGCTCTCATGGGGGCCATCACGCTGTGACCTAGAGCGGGGGTCAGCAGGCTTTTTCTGTAAAGGGCCGGAGAGTAAGTATTTTCAGCCTTGCGGGCCATAGGTTGGGTTGCAAGGACTCCGCCTTGCCGTGGCAGTGCCAGGGAGCCACAGATGCTACGTGGACAAGCCGGCGTGGCTGAGTCCCAGTGAGACTTTCCTTACTAAAGTGGTGGGACCGGGTTTCGTCCAACCTGACCCTGATGCAGATGAACTTGCAGAGGACATCAGCTCCTCCTGCAGGGCACACGCTCCTCGCTTCTCCTGACGTCAGATCTGCACAGTCCTTGTCCTGGAAGTCCCCACACGTAGGATCTCACATCCGAGAGAAAGCGAACGTCAGAGGATGGGGCAGTTTAGAGAGAGCATCAGCCACCACGCGCGACCCCTGATGTTCTAAGCACCTGCAGTGATTTCTGTGTGATTCTCCGACTGGTCAGAGTCGGGGTTTGGGCACAGGGGTCTTGAGTTGGTGGGTGCGGTTAAAAGACTGTGACACGCGTTCCATACAGCCCCACGGTTCCCAGGAATGATCACCAGCCCGCCACGCCCCATCCAGAGGGTCCTGCACGTTGTTTCACAGGGAAGGTGGAGACATCAGAGTCGGGTTTAACTCTGCTGTGGACTGAACATTTGTGTCCCTCCCCATATCTGTCTGTTGAAACCCTAAACCCCAAGGAGACGGTCTTAGGAGCTGGGGCCTTTGGGAGATAACTGGACCAGGAGGGATGAGCTGAGGGGTGGGGTTCGTGCCCTTATGAAAGAAGCCGCAGAGGCTCCTCACCACGTCCTCCGTGTGAGGACACAGCGAGAAGGTGTCATCGATGAACCAGGAAGCAGGTCCCACCAGACACTGGCTCTGCCACGCTTTGATCTCAGACTTCCAGCCTCCGGAACTGTGAGGAATAAATGTCCGTTGTGCATAAGCCGCCCAGGCTGGAGTGTTTGGTGACAGACAAACTCACAGCTTTGCCTGGGGTGACCTTGGGTGCATCACCTGTGTAGTCTGGGTGACCTTGGGCGCGTCACCTGTGCCGTCTGCACCTGGGTTCTCCTGGAACTGCGGTCAGCGCTGTCCATGGGGTGCGGGACAGAGGTGTCAGGTGGCTTCCTGCCTTCGGGCTCCAGTGAATAAACAGCCGTGCTAACAGCAGGAGAGCAGACTTGGAAGGAAAGTCCAACACTTGGGATATGCTGAGAGTAAAGAGCCCTCCCGTGTGCTGGAGGGAGTGTGAATCAGTGTGACCCCTTTGGAAGGCAGTTTATTAACTTCTAGCAAAAGGACGGATGGTGTCCTCTCCGATCCATCCGACCGGCTCCTGATAACCCATCCTGCAGGTGCACCTGCACCCCGAAGGGTGAACGGTGCACCTGCCTATTTATTTCATGGCAGTATTCACTTTAGGAAAAAGCTGGAAAACACTGTGGGGGAATGGTCAGAAAGTTAGGACACAGCTAATCACGAAGCGGTAGAACAGGACAAGGACAGCGTCCTGCTGAGTGCAAAGGTCTCCGGGGCCTGCCGTTGAGTCAGAAAGTCACGGTGCGGGGCAGCTGTGGACGCTGCCGTCTGTGGGGCGAGGGACAGGGACATTTACTCACATCTGTGTTAAGAGTCTCGGAAGCTAGCAAGGTGCTGCTAACAACGGTTCTCTCCTCTGGGGTGGACTGAGCAGATGGGGTGCAGGCGTGTTGGGGAGACGTGTCTGGACGCCTTTTATACTTTTCAGTGTTAGCCCTATAGATTTAACAGGCTGAATTTCTCTTTAAGTTTGAGGTGCCCATGAGAGGGTCAGAGGGTGAGGCCAGGTGGGCAGACAGCGGGCCCAAGTCCCTGTGGCTGGGGATCCCGATGCTGTGCTCAGAAGCCACTCAGCCCCCGCCGCTGCCACACAGCCCCTCACCCCGTGCCGTGCCCTGGGGACGTCAGCACTGGGTGAGCAGCGGCGGCGTCGGCAGCAGCGCCAGCAGGAGGGGTGGTCTCAGAATCCTCACCCTGCGTCCCACGCATGCAGAAATGTAGTTCTGTCTTTTCTAGAACCTTCCTCAGCATGGCCCTCGAGCCCTCCCTACTTGTGCCATCCCGTCGCAGGGAGTTACTCCAGTGCAATGAGTTTTCAGTCAGTCCTAAGTATTACTGGTGGTCCGTGTGCCCTCCACCGGTCACACTGTCCTGCAGAGCCCAGCAAGGCCACGTCTGCAACAGCCTACTCTGTGCCCTGGACCAGACCAGAGGCCCTCGGTCCCAGGCTGTTGGGGGCCTGGGCCCTCCTTTCCCTTGTCTCAGCCCCAGGGACTTTCTGAGCGGGGACGGACTCTCAGGTCCCTGGTGATTTGCTTTATGATTTACTCTACAGTCACTCCCCCAAGCTTTGATCTTGAATTTTAAGAAAAATCTCATTTTGTGGCTTCTGAGAAATCCTTCGTGCTCTCTCGAAAGCCCGGCCTTGCAAAGCTGCACGATGACGTCTTTGTTCTAGGGGGCCTCTGCCTCCCACCCCCCAGGGCTCCTGCGTGCTGGCACCCCGTTTCCTGCAAGGCGAGTGGTCCACGCGCCTCCACCCACCCTCCCACGGTTGTTGGTGTCCTGACACCAGGCAAGTCTCGCTTCCTCCCCCAGGGACCTGTCCTTCCCAGAGCACCCCTGTCCACCCTCGTCCCAGTGGGCACGCAGCCGTGAACACAGCGTCTCCTCTGTGGACTGAGCCTGCACGGTGCTGCCCAGCCTCGGGCCTCTGCCATTTGACTCCAGGGAGGTCCCAGTTTGGCACAGGCTCATGGGTGACCTGGTGGCCCCCCTGGCCCCCCAGAACTGCTCATGCAGCCTAGAGCTCCCTCAGCCATGGGCTTTCTTTCTGCCTTGATTGTGGATTGTGGGACACTGTTTCCTCCAGGTAAGCTCCACGCCCCCTGCCTGTCCCTAAAGCCTAAGGCGACACTGTTGAAATTGCCCCCCATCCCCAAGAAGGGGTTTTGCTCCTTAAGAATTCAGTGTTGAAGGACACTAAACGTCCTGTCTTCCTTCCGCTGACTCTGCAAGGTCTCTGTCTGGATTGTGGCCTCAGCCCGAGATGACGTGACTTCCTCCCCATCTAGGGGCTACAAGTGACACTGCGCACAGACCTCAGGACCACCCGGACCCTGGGCCAGCAGAATAAGAATCCACGGTTTAGGGCGCAAAAATCCTAATTTAATTTTTAAAGACTATATTTTATCTCCTCTTGCTCTGAAGCCCCCTTTCCCACCCAGGACTATGAATTTGGATTTCACTCTGTTTCTCTCTCAGTCTCTCTTCCTGTCAACGAGTGGTCACTCCAAAGTTCAAACCCACTGTAAGGTCCTTTTTTTACTCACCCAGGTGGGCTTCCTTTCCCTCCCTCTTCTGTGTATCTGGTCGGGGGAATCTTACAGATCCAGGCATTGGGGCGGGGTCGGGGTCTCTGGCCCTCTGGGGCCTCTGGGAACCCACCTCTTTCCCCACCGTATTTGCAGCCAAAGGGTCACAGCTAGGACAATGTGTGTGGGTCCCCTGGGGGCCTGAGCGTGGCTCCAACATCTCCTCTGAGGTCTCCCCGGCTGCTGAACCTCGGAGACTCAGCCGTCTTCCCAGCGGGCCCAGCTTTGGCTTCTCAGCGCCGTGTCCCGGCCACGTCTCCTGCCCTGTTGGGGCTGCACCCTGGTACACCAAGCGGCTCTGAATTCTCGGCCACCCACCCCCACAGTGGACACGGTCATCCCAGCAGGCTTCCTCTGCCTCGAGAGTGCCCGTTTTACAAGCCCCATCCCCAGGATGGATGCAGGGCTCGTTCCCACCGTCCAGGCTGCCCAGGCCCAGGCATGTGACCCAGGCTGTGCCCGACAGATGCCCCCACATGAGATGGATTCACAGAGAAGTGAGAAAGAGGGGACCCATGTGGGTGGCATGTGTGCAGGTGTGGGGGGCGCGTGGAGTCGTCACGGTCTGAGGATCCACTCGTCGGCATCCCGTGCGAGTCCCCCACAGTGTGGGGAGGAGCGAAGTCTGTGCAAGCCGCAGTGGCCGTGACTGTCGTCTCTCTAAAGTAGCTTCCTGGGGGGTCGAGCATCGCTCCTGGCCTCCCTTGAAATTGTCACCTCTCTATAAACAGGGGAACTGGGGGGACTCGCAAACCTCCGCCCCCTGAACAACCCTGGTGCCATTTCTCTTTTACTTTTAATTGGCAAATAATAATTGTATCCATGGATGGGCTACGATGTGATGTTTTGATAGGAGTTTACACTGTGCAATGAATAAATCAAGCCAACCGACATATGCGTCACCTCACATACTTATTTTTTGTGGTGAGAACGTTTAAAATCTACTCTTTTAGACAGAACTGAGGCCACCAGAGGTGGGAGGGGGAGGTGAAAGGGGTAAAGGAAGGGTTGATAAAGGGCCACGAATAATAACTGCCTCGTGCAATGCTGAACACACTGATTGCCCTGATGTGAGCGTCACATACGGCACGCAGGTATTGACATTCAACGCGGTGCCCCACACGTGTGCACAAT